GTCTTTTCTTTATCAAACTTACTGTGCTCTAATATAACATCCAACAAGGTCGTGCTAGGTTTCCCTACATTGATAAAATCTCTGTCGGCCGTGTATTGCATGTAGTTAACAACACTTCCACCAGCAGGGAGGATCAAACCGTCAGATGGATAAGACCTGTCGATGTTTGCACCTATAAATGGTATCGACTTGTTACCGTGAAGCAAGTATTGGAGAGTCAGGGCAATTCTCATATAATTAAAGTCTTTTGTAGAGCCTACTACGACTGCCTTAACCTCTGGATCAACCTTTAGTAACTCGTGATGAGGGTCAAAGGGTGCATTAAGACTGACATCCGTACCTCCAACCGGAATATAATTAGCCTCTCGTAACTCATCTTCAATACCACTGTCACCCAAGACCCAGATTTTAGAGCCTTCCGGCACTTTCAAATGTTCTTTCAAATTAAAGGTTGCGGCATAGCATGTAGGATATATCATATCCTTCGTAATACCCTTAAACCCTAATCGTTGGAACTTCTCGACATAATCCTGGCGCGACTTAGAGGAGTTGTTAGTAACGAATACATATCTCTTATTTTTGGATTGTAAGTACTCGATGGTGTTGAGGACTCCGGGAATTAATTTTTCATCTAACCAAATCACTCCATCACAATCGAACAAAAAATTATCATGTTGATCGATTAATTTCTGTGCTTGCTCTTTACTGGAGATCTTTGCCGGTATTATGCTTTCCGATACAGTCATATTTACCGTCAAACTTGATAATGTTTTTATATCAAGTAGAAGAATATTATGAATAAAAGAAATACTCAGAGAATATCACATGACAATTGTTGCAGATTAAGGTTAGAAAATACGATCAACAATCTTCCATACATAAACTGATAGATCATATTTAGTTCGAAAAGATATTCATGAATTTTACAGGAAACACTTTTGTTTGAATATTCTTGGTGTGTTAATGTAATCAAATTTGAATGAAGGTGTCAAATTAAAGTATTGACTTGTAACACACATATTGGAGTGTGCTGTGTGAACAATTGGGACGCCTCCAATTCCATTCCATACTTGGAGTTTTCTGAATAAGCCTATAAAACTTTTCCATTAACAGGGATTAGTTTAATTTGGGATCAATCGGTAGAGACTTAAATAATTGAAGCTGATAAGCTATCGTACATGAAGAATAGACATTTTCACGTGATTTAAATTTTTTTATTCCCAAAAATCACTTTGTCTTAATGCTTCTTTAAACTTGTTGCGTTCCAATTTCCTATAAGCTATAGGTTATTTGTTGATTTTAGGAATTATTGGATTATATTGGATTATATTGGATTATACTGGATTATATTGGATTTTTAGTTCATAATGTGTACAGACCCAGAGATAATACTAGATCCAAATTCGAACCATTTACCCGAATGCCAATCTGTTAATGAATCTGATCCAAATAGACAAAATATAAAACATAAGGCTAAAGGCAAAAAAGTGCGGAAAGAACAGTCTGAAGAAGATTATATTTCCCAAAAGCTGCAATTCTATAGCACCGGACCTACGCTAAATACTGAGGACTGGCTCTACGATCCAGAAGGGTTAAACCAGCTAGACAATTCCAAAAAGACTGATAGAGTAAGAATGCTAAATGCATGTGAAAAGGCTTACTATCAAAAGCAATATAGAAAGTGCCTTGATTTGATAAGGAGAGCAGAGTCGTTATTTGAGGTACAGTTAAATAATGAAGAAGAAAACGAAGACATCAAAAGTGATTTCGAATCATCAGGTAAGAAAACGAGAAAAAGTGCTAAAGTCGACAGGCACATTGTGGAATTATTGCATATTAAAGAACGTTGCCTTGAAAAAGTAAATATCTGATATATATCTATATATATTACGCTTGTATTATTGGTATTATTCTCGCTTTAGCCATATTCTAGTCTCAATGTAGCTTACCATACGTTTCTTGAAAAGGTTTTCGTCATTATAATCGTTATCGCTGTCATCGCCATTTGTACCTATCTGGAATTCATCTAATACTTCGACACTACCCGTTAGTATGTCAACTTTATAATTTAGCTCATCTTGAAATTTCAAAGCAATAGATAGGGTATTCTCTATAGCCTTACCCATACCTTTCACGGTGATGTATTTAACCTTCTTATAATCAGTGTTTTGATACTTTTTACTAGGAAGAACCGATTTATCGAATTTTGCAAGGATTTTTTGAATTCTCTTTAATGCTGATATATATGGTGTTGAAGACTTCACCAAAAATGTAGTTTCATGTTCAATTTTCAGTAACGGTATAGTATTAGGACTGTGTTTAATGTGCTTCCCGTTTATTCTCTTTGGATTGATACGCTTTTCTTTGCTTGTTTCCATCATTATTGAGACGATTTTCACGTATTATAAAATGTGATATTTTTAGTGATGGATAAATTTTGAGAATTCAATCCATTTAACGTGAATTTGTACTTTTTTGTTTAATACTTACGATTCCTTTTTTTATTCAATTATAATACTGTGGGTTCGAGATATTTCCTTTCAAATCAATTATAAGTATAGCTACAACGTATTGTGGAAATAGTTCCTGACTCATTAATTATTATCATTGCAATTCACTAGTACCGCGTCTCATTTATATTTGGCTATCTATGAATATGGCTTCAAGTGAAATGGGAGTGAATCTGTCAAACGTAACATCAGATTCATATTATGGATATGCTGACATGTCAAGCTTTACTATACCGTCATCCCCAATAAGGTCTATATCGCATAAAAGAAAGAGATCTCAAGATCTTGATCTCATTACGCATATTACAATTAATGGCCACGCTTTAGGTGATCAAGCGATAGATGAGCATGCAAAGAGATGCCAACAACATAAGATTCACTCAGAATTACATCAGAATACTATAGATATGATGATGAAATCTCAAAAAATACTACAGGAACAAGAAAGATTGCATAAGCTATACAATGAGGATAATCCGATGCATGAGGATATAGTCAATGATGAAACGAAAGACAACTATAAACAGAGACCATTTTGGCCAATAATAAATAAGACTAACGTCTGATATAATAAATATACCTCCCAAATACAACAACCACTACAGAATATTCACCGTAATAATAGAATTAGATTAAATATGTATATACATATGAAGAGAACAAAAATATAACATGAAAAATACAATTGTGAACCTTAAGAAATAATGAATTTAAAGAAACCTTACGACATATACTAATTAGAACGCTTTGACTTCTTCTTGTTCTTCAATACGACCTTTTGTTTGGTGGATTCAGCTTCAGATTCGCTTTCCATTTCTTCGTCTTCACTCATCATGTCTTCAGATGCAATTTCTTCTTCTTCTTCATCTTCAATTTCTTCGTCCATGGCATTCTCCTTAGCAGCCTTTCTTTCAGCCTTTCTACGTAATTCCACGTCTCTGATCTTCAATAATTGTGGGTTTTGTTCCACTAATCTTCTATCGAGGGCCAATTTCTTGTCCTTATTACCTCTCATTCTGTTCTTGTAGAAGGCTCTTTCCCTCTTTTGTCTGATTTCTTCAACTCTAGCCATGGTCTTCAAAGTGGTAGCGACCAAATCTCTGTTATATCTAACTGGAACATTTCTTCTTGCAGCAAATGTCAAGGTAGAATCGACAACTAATTCCTTACCAGCAGCCTTTCTGAAAGCCTTGGTCCATCTCAATTTACGTGGGTTACGACGTTGTTTGAACGCATGATGACATTTGGAACGACAAAATCTAAATTCTTTGGCGTCATTTCTAACAAACATAATCCCGTGTAATGGATAAACTGGAGATGAACAAAAATGACATGAATAAACTCTCATAGTGAAGTGTTATAATATGTGATAATGTGATGCTAAAATAAAATTATTGAATCCTAATCAAAAATGAAAAATTGTTCTGCAATTGTATATATATGTAAATAACTATGCCAATACTCAACTATTGTCAACCTCTCGCAATAAGCAATATCCTCCGTATATTATTTGTATAAATATACTAAATATCTCAAAATATCAATAGATAAGTCAAATAGATATGAAAATTTTTTGGTATCATATAGTACCTCTTCTCTATACTAAAAAAAATTATTAATTACACAAAAATGTTTTTTCTCTTCGTGATGATATACGTGAGCCGCGGTGAATGCGGCTGTTCTGTTCTCTTTCTACCCATGAGACTAGCTGATCGCCACCGCTGGACTGATGTTTTGAATACTGTTCCGCTGGGAGCTACTCCTATTATTTACATCGAACAGGAAATTTTCTTTATCTTGTCGTGAACTGTTCTGTTGCACCTGTGTGAAATACAATTTACCCTTAATATCCTCATTCCAAGCTGGTTCTACTTCGTATTTATGGGCCTGCTATCACGAGCATTGTTAATTCTTAGAATAAATCATATAGTTTTCTTGTTACTCGTTATTTGTAGTATTTCAGTGGCAAAAGCAGTTTTTTTGCAACTTTTGAACTAGAAATTGCATTGCACGTGACCGATGGCTCAATTACCAGAGACCCTATTAGAACGAACGACCAGGATATGCCTATCTAAGGTCCTTGGAGCCTTAGATGCTGTTTGTCCAATATAATCCCAGGTAGGTAGCATCCGGAATTTGGCTTATGTCATTAATGAGGTCTTCAGTTTAACGTCATATGCACTAGGATCTATTTTCATCACCTTTCTGTGATGTGATTGAATACAACTGTAATCGTTAGTCAGAGATTAGGCTGACAGAAAGTAAAATTGTTGGGTATATTGGTGCAGTTTATCTTGAAGCTTATAGGTTAGCTCATAACAAACCTTATTCCTTAACCACATCAGTCAAAAACTTTTAATCGCGAACTCATTATACACCAATATTTGAGCATTTTTTTTGCCCACTTAGGTCAGCTCTATATTCTTCTTAAACTATAAATAAGGTAAGAAAACATATCTAATTGGTCTCATAAACTTTTTAACTATCATAATGGACGATTCTTACGACGTTATTATTATAGGCGGAAGTGCTGCAGGGTTGGCCGCAACTTTAGCAATCGCACGTACTATGAAGACTGTTCTATGTATAGACTCTAAAGCACCATGCAACAGATTCTCCAACCACATGCACAATTTTATAGGGCACGATGGAGATACTCCACTTGAATTCAAGTCTCAGGCTAAAGAGAATGTAATGAAATATAAGACAGTTGACTTAGTTGAAGGTGAAGTAATTGACGTTGCTAAGTCTGAGAAAAGCTTTCAAATTGCAGCAACCATTTCCAACACCGAAAAAGCATTACACCGGAAAGAAGATAATTTTTGCGTCGGGTGTTAATGACTTAATTAATGATGTCAATATAAAAAATATTGAGGATTTTTGGGGTAAATCTGCTTTGCATTGTCCTTATTGTCATGGATATGAATTTGCAAACATGAAGACGGGACTCATATTCGATAACTCTCGTTTAATGGACATGGCAACAATGATTTATAATTGGACCAAAAATATTACGTTATTAACAAACGGCACTAAAATATCTTCTATATGTTCTGAATCGCAGCTAAATGAATTAAAAGATAAAGACATTGAAATCATAGATAAGGTAATAACAGAATTTATTGGTGAGTCAGGAAAATTAGAATCTGTAGTATTTTCAGACGGTACTAGAATTTCTTTGAGTTGTGTATATATCCATCCACCGTTTGAATTGAAGTGTGAAGAGATTTTAAACAAGTTGCAAGTACACATTGATACACCAAAGTTAATTAAAGTTGACTCATTTCAAAAAACCAATATTAGCGGTGTATATGCTTGCGGAGACTGTACTACTTTTTTCAGAACAGTATCTAACGCTGTTAGCCAAGGAAATGTTGCAGGTGCCTTTGCTTCGAAGGATTTATTTCAAGATTCGTGGAATGAGTAATTTTGACAGGAATGAGATAGATTTTTTTCTTTTAATATGAAACATTCCATTGTAGGACTTCAAGATGTTCCAGGAGTAAAATTATATTTTACCTATTTATCTCTAATATAATATGTTCAATAAAGGCTTAATGTGTATGACACTCCCCATAGAATTGTATTTACATCCCACTGGCAAACTAACTCAGAATATTTAATCGTCACGAAATAACTTTTTCCCAACCAATGACTCAATATAAAAGAAGTTATTTAATTATATAGCATACATCTTCTTGCAACTTCTTATCATTCTTCTGCCATGTAGAGGTGAAAAAGGTACCGTTTTTTGCATCTATAATGGGTCTGGAAACAGAAATTATATTACACGTGACTTATGGTCGAGAAAAAAAAAATTCGGCTCCTAGAATACGTTAGAGAATTTTTTAGAATCACACCTTTTGCACTCCATAGTGATATTAATACTGATAACCCTTGTAAATAAAGCATAATAAGATAGACATGGCACCTTTTAATATGGATATCCCTACCTTGGCTATTCCTGGTGACAGGAACCAAAGCCAAGCTATAGAATTACAGCAACAGCCCCAACAACCACAAGAACCTCAACAGCCCCAACAGTTCCAACAAGCTTACACGGGCCACTTACAACGTAAACAGGCAGATGAAGGTTCAGCTGAATATTATTTTGACAAGAGTTGCGAATGGATGGGTAACCACCCATGGATGACCGGTATGGGGGTGTTGGGAGTTGCATATTTTGCTTCTGGATTTGTTAAATCGAAACAACCAGGTATCAACGGTAAAGCGTTTATCAAAGGCTCCTTTGGACAGAAGATGACCCCCAAGGAAGCGTTGCAGATCTTAAATTTGAAGGAAACCAACTTATCGCAAGCCAAATTGAAGGATCAGCACAGAAAGTTGATGATGGCTAATCACCCGGATAAAGGAGGCTCGTCTTATTTAGCTACAAAGGTTAACGAAGCGAAGGATATATTAGAAAAGAGAGGCGGCTTAAAGAAGAAATGATTTATGCGTGAAAAAACACCCGTAGCATAAGATGACATATATTACAAGTGGGTTTCAGCTCAAATGTCAAAAATGAGAGTAAATCTCCCCAAACCTCCCGTGATAACATCTAATTTCTTTCATCATCTTAGAGCAGATTATAAGCATCATAGCCCACTGTTTATAATAGTTTATTGTATATAGAATGTACGAATAATAGTGAAAATTTAGAAGTCGTGCGCTTACTCAATCTGCCTGATCGGGACGTAGGAACCGGAAATTCTTATTTACATGAACAACAGCATGTTTTACACTGGTATAGATTCTTCCACTTAATAGATCAATTATATAAACATTATCAGTAATTTGCTCCATATAGATATGACAACATATGAGAAAATTGTCAAGGGTGCTACTAAGGTCAAAGTGGCAGCACCGAAACCAAAATATATTGAACCGATTCTTATGAGTACCCTGATAGATCATTCGGTAGAAGCAGAAAATTTCGTCACTATAATGAAAGCGTTACGAAGTAGGCTCCAAGACAGTGCGTGGTCGGTTGTGTATAAGCTGTTGATCGTAATTCATATTATGATTAGGGAAGGTGATCGAGATGTTACGTTGAATTATCTCGTTAATAAGGATCCTAATATGCTTAATTTAGCCCACTCAAACATTACCAAAAACCACAACCATAACCCTGACGTTCGATTTATTGTGAAATATGCCAAATATTTACATACGAGAGTCAAACAGTATGAATCAACAGGCATTGACTATGTGAGAGATGAGCGTGCTAATAATAGCACTGGACAAGATGGAGGAAGATTGCGTACGTTGACAATTGAAAAAGGCTTATTAAGAGAATGTGAGAGTGTTCAGAAACAAATAGATGCATTATTGAAAAATAACTTCATGGAAAATGAAATTAACAACGATATTGTTTTAACCGCATTTAGGATGCTAGTCAATGACTTGTTATCATTGTTTCAAGAATTAAACGAAGGTGTGATTAATATCTTGGAACATTATTTTGAGACTTCAAAGGTTGATGCTGAAAGGGCACTCAGAATTTATAAGAAATTTGTCGATCAGACCAAGTATGTTATTGATTATTTGAGAGTTGCCAAGCACCTTGAGTATGCAACAAAATTACATGTTCCAACAATCAAGCATGCACCAACTGCATTGACTTCATCTTTAGAAGAGTATTTGGATGATCCAAACTTTGAAGTGAACAGACGACAATACTTGGCTGGAAAACAGACGGAAGGAAAGGAGCCTACTGATGGTTTTCCTGTACAACAGCTGCAGCCACAACAAAGTTCACCAAAGCAAGATGTTCAATCGTCACAATTTCAGTCTCCGCAATATCAAACTCAGCAACAAGTTCAACCTCAGCAGCACGTTCAACCTCAGCAGCACGTTCAACCTCAGCAGCACGTTCAACCTCAGCAGCACGTTCAACCTCAGCAGCANGTTCAACCTCAGCAGCACGTTCAACCTCAGCAGCACGTTCAACCTCAGCAGCACGTTCAACCTCAGCAGCACGTTCAACCTCAGCAGCATGTTCATCCTCAGCAGCATGTTCATCCTCAGCAACAAGTTCAACCTCAACAAGTAGCTAGTCCAGATATACAGAGAACTAATTCATTAATTGTTCAACAATCTACATTTAATCCTTGGGGCTCAAACTTGCAACCGCAACAGGTACAGATGTTACCACAAGGTGCCCTACCTGCTGGCTCTTCCTTTGCCACATTACCGGCAATTTCGCAAGGTCTGGCATATCAACATAATGGTATTCAACAGCAACCCCTGCAACAAAATGGTTTAACCTCTACATTTACCGGCGCCGGTTTTGGTGGTTATGGATCACAACTTCAACAGCAAACAACAGGTGGAAATCCCTTCTCACAAAATTCTGTGACAGGCCCCACACAAAGTTTTGATAATTTCGCTTCTCAGCAACAACAACAACAACAACAACAACAACAACAACAACAATATCAGCAGCAGCTTCAACTTCAACATCAGCAGCAGCAACAACTTCAACGTCAACAAAGTATGCATTCTGGGATATCAAGGGCCAATACTAATCCATTTTCGAATTTAAATTCGTCTCTGACAAATCAACAATTACATTCCACGAACACTGGTTCGAATCCATTTTTTAATACTAGATTTTCACAAAACAGTTCTACTACGCCATTATCATTCGTGAATGACCAACCACAACAAGTTACAAGTACTTCTACAGGCTCTAATCCGTTCAAAGTTTCTGAAACAACGAGTAATCTTTTTAATAATGCTAGCAATGGACCTCAACCGCAATTGAAGCCACAACCAACTGCCGGTGGGTTGGAAAATTTACCTACTGTTCCCGTTTTTCCAGACACTCAGCAAGAGTCTCAAAAACAATACTACTTGAATAACGCAAGAATAGAATTACAACAACAAATGACTAATAATCAGCAATTTCCTCAACAACCATCCCAACAGCAGCAATGGAATCAACCACATCAATTTCAACAGACGCAACCTCAATATACACAAAACTATCAGCAGCCACAACAGACATCAATGTACAATAATACTTATGAAGGACCAAGTTTAATCTAAGCAAGACCATAAATTTAGGACTACTCTTTTAGCATTAGATCTTTATTGTATCCATTTATTCTATCATTTATATTAATTTTATTAAATATATATTATTGATTTCAGAGAAGGGTAATTTAAACAAGAATAGACATTAAGATTGAAGCGCCAATCATCATTGAACTAATTGTGAAACCAGAAGCTGAATTGTTTGAAGATTTTTCACTTACAGAAGCAGTAGCTGAGCTAGATGCGCTGGCCTTCTTGGCGGAGTCAGAAGTAGTAGAGGAAGAGACTGTTGTAGCTTCTGCTTCAAGTGAAGTCGATGCTGCTTCTGAACTGTTTGTTCCCTTGTCAGATGTAGTCGACGAGTCAGATGAAGAGTCTGTTTTTGATGCTTTTGAATCAGAACTAGAAGTCGAATCGGATGCTGAAGTAGATGAAGCAGAGCTCGACGATTCGGTGCTTGAGGAAGATGAATCATCACCGCCTTCAATATTAGCCTTATCAATTCTACCATTAATTTCACCATCTTTAGCTTTAATTGATGTCCAATCACCCGATTGATCACCGTAGGAATATTCTTTACCAGTCGAATAATCACTGACAATTAATTTCTTAATTGTCATTGAGAAAGGTGCTTCAGAATAATCAGTCTTACCTCCAGCCCATTCAATAGTACCAGCTGCATTGGATGAATCGCCACCAGCCCAGGCACCAGTCATAAGATACATTGGAGTTTGTGGATAACCTTCAGATGATGAATTCTTCAAAGTTCTCACAGCATCACCATCTAAATACCATACGCATTCTTCTTCGGTCCAGTCAATGGTATAATTATGAAAACCTGTTTGAGGAGAATCTCCCAGAACTGTGTGGTATTCACCTCTATCATACGTGGTAGTGTCACCCTTCGAGAAGTAATTTGACTGGAATTGGGTATCATCACCTCCTAAGAATTCAATATCAATTTCATCCAAGTCATCAGATTGAAGATAGAAATCTGAAACAATACCAGTACCATTAGCAGCCTTCATGTGAACTTCGACTCTTCCAAACATAATATAGAATTTTGATTTCACGGCTGGATTATCTAATCTTTTTGCAATAGTTAATGTCAATCCGTCATCACCAAACGACACACCAGATTCAGCGGATGTAACTTCGAATTGTGTTGAATTACTTGAAAAATCTTCTGAAAGATCAGTCGCCAATGCCTTGTCAGAAGGACAATTTGACGATGAAAGCGGATTGCATGTACTAGATGTAGCTGTAGCAGAACTCAATGCAATTATGGCTGAGAATGCTAATAAACTTTTCTTAATGTGAACCATTGTATGTTAATTAATATTAAAAAGATATTTATATTCAAGAACAGTTCATAAATGATGGAATATTTATACCCTTATATACTAATTAAGCTATTAAGGTGCTTAGGAGTTGTTAATTTGCAGCCTTGGAACATCGGGATTTGAATATTTAATTGTTCGGCATTAGAAAAGACGCGAACCCGTACCTTAAACACCCATCTTAGTTAAATTAAATAATAATGAAGGTTTCCGAGACTCAGAAAATGGCTTAACTATAATCAGGCTGTGACAAAAAATTCCAATACCGTGTATCTGTTACCTTAAATAGAATTATAATGATAAATTTCGAAAGAACTAGACACAAGCCGAAACAAGGCTCGAGAGCACTGTGTTCCCGTAACGAATTAAATAAGCTAATAACCAACCTCAGAGACTCGGACACATGTAAGCAATATAATATTTTCGTATAGTCTATATAAGCCTGATATTCGACGCTGATCTTCGAATCCCACACAAAGGACTAAAAATTTCCGAATTGCCATAATTCTTTGTCATAGCCTTCAGTCACGTCTGCATCCTCTCCGTATTGTTGCTGCCACTTTGAGAACCCACCCTGTAACACCCATATGTTCAAGTTATCGAAAAATTCACGTTGCTTAGGGTCGACGTCGTTCAACGATCTCATGAATCTCAACGTCGCCTTAGGTCCTCTCGCCTGCGATAACATACAATGGAAAACTACATCATTGATTTCATTCTTCACAAGTTTATCTTGAAGTTCTCCCAAACTAGTGTCAAAGCTTCCAGCTGGATAGTGGTAGCTTCCTTTTATATGGCCGCCAACATAATCGGATTCTCTGACGTCTACTACGGCAAACTTTCCAGCCCCCGTAGAAGACCCATTGCTAAACCAATTGCGAAGTTTACTTGGTTTGAGTAGCTTAATATCTGAAATAGAATAGATTCTCGACATGATGTTAAATGCAACCTTCAGGATATACTTACAAGTTCGTCTTGCTACACTGTATGTTTGCTGTACCAACTTTTGTATTAAAAATTTTCACGTGATTTTGTGTTCACATGGGACCACATTGTACCGTCTAATTTTTCAAGGCCTTAATACTACTTTGATAGTTTGGCGTAAAGTATCTACAACCAAATATTTATCGGTATTATTACTATAATTATTGGTCATTGGTCATTTTAATTCCATTCGAAGTTTATTGGTTTTTTTTTGTTTATTCAAGGTAAAATTTTGATATTTTTGGAATTGTTCATATAATCTAGTAAAAAGCAATGTCCCAAGATCTGAGATCTAATTCTGTGGAAGCTGCTGATTTGAAGGCTGGTAGTCCATTAGGTAGAACGATCTCCGTTGATTCTATCGCATCGTTATTTAGAAAGAGAAAGAGAGCCGATAGTGAATCAGCAACCTCAACACCAGTTGAATCACCACATGATTCAGATACTACTGAAAGCGATAAAGAAGGTACGCGTGACACCAAGAGAAGAAAGGTTAAAACTAAAGAAGAGATAGAGTTTGAAGAGAATGAAAAAAAGTTAGATGCTGAGTTGCCAGAGGAATTACGAAAATATAGGCCGCTTGGGTTTAAGTTTAACATCCCACCCAAAGATAGACCGATCAGGATTTATGCTGACGGGGTGTTTGATTTGTTTCACTTAGGTCATATGAAGCAATTAGAGCAAGCCAAGAAAGCATTTCCTAATGTTGCTTTGGTGTGTGGAATTCCTTCGGACGTGGAAACCCATAAGAGAAAGGGATTGACAGTGTTGACAGATCAACAGAGAATCGAAACATTGCAGCATTGTAGATGGGTTGATGAGGTTATTCCCAACGCTCCTTGGTGTGTAACTACTGAATTCTTACTCCAGCACAAAATTGATTATGTTGCCCATGATGATTTACCTTACGCGTCAACAGATTCAGACGATATTTATAAGCCTATCAAAGAAATGGGGATGTTCTTAACGACCCAAAGAACAGAGGGCATTTCAACGTCAGATATCATCACCAAAATCATTAGAGATTATGATAAGTATTTGATGAGAAACTTTGCCCGTGGTGCCACAAGAGAAGAATTGAATGTCAGCTGGTTAAAGAAAAACGAATTAGAATTCAAAAAGCATATCAATGATTTCAGATCATACTGGACGAAAAATAAAACAAATATTAATAATGTTTCCAAAGATCTTTATTTCGAAGTAAGGGAATATATCAGGGGTAAGAAAACAGGATCATCTTCCCTGTCAGATAATAATAGTATCACTTCAGAATTTGATGAAGTGAATTCAAGAGCCAACTCTCCATTGACTGATTTTGCTTCCAAGTATATCGGAAATGCTAATAAAGACCTTAATGGTAAATCTATTTTAGCTAATGTTAAAGGATGGATAAAAGGGGATGAATTATCCGCTACTGAGAAATCTGAACCATCTCTGGAATCTTTATCTAGAAAATCAACTAGATCTTCCACAAGATCTTCGAAGTTGAACAATAATAAATCCTCGGTGACATCTGTCTCAAGTTCCAAGTCCCCTAAAAGGTCCTCCAAGTCGGTTACAAGTACTCCTAAAAATTCAAAGAAGATCAATAAGAGAACTCAAAAATCTAGTTAATCCTATATCATGCACACAAGTTTCATTCTCTAAACTATATTATACTGCTCAATACTGTATTAGACTTAATCCTTCAGCGTTGTCAATGTTGAAGATTACATTTTTCTTAATATAAATAGTAAAATTGTTTTGTATTGTAGACAAATTTATAGCATCGGGTCTGATCTGATCATGTAAAGTGCGAACTAAAAGACGAGTTTGTTTTTTACCAGTCTAAAATACTATTCTTCAAAGTATTTTACATGCATTATGACAGACAGTATTGCTTATTCGGGAACAAACGAAGTAATAAGTACTGATGACGATAATACGCAAACTACACAGGCGCATTTGCTATCGTTCGAACAACTACAGATGCAACTAAAGGCGCAACAAGAATTGTTCCAACAACAACGGGAACTTTTTAATAATGATAATGTACACACCAGTTCAATCCCTACTCTAAATCATACATGGAGCTTTACACAAGGACTTGTTGTTGGTCAATTAAGTGTAATTGTAGTGGTAGCGATATTCATTAAATTTTTTGTATTTGCTGATTCTTCAGCGACAACCACCACCACTAGCTCTTCCAATAAAGATATATCAGGTGTAATTGTCAAAAGGAACAAGAACGTACGGGGCATGCTGAATGAAGATAAAGATTCAAACAATAATAAAGAGGATGACCTCAACCTGCCGAACCTTTCGAAGATTTCTACGATATTAGAAAAAACATATTATGATGTGGAAAATCATTCACCAGAATCTCTAGATTGGTTTAACGTCCTTATTGCACAAACTATATCTCAATTAAGAACTGAAGCCTTGTTGTCGGATAATATTTATCACTCCTTAAATGAATTTTTAACCAACCTGGATCTACCAGACTATATGGATAAGATTAAATTAACAGAAATAGATATAGGTGATGATTTTCCAATTTTTTCAAACTGCCGTATAAAGCATAGTAAAGATGGATCTGGTAGACTTGAAGCCAAAATTGATGTTGATTTATCCGATACGTTAACTTTAGGTATTGAGACTAGACTCTTGTTGAATCATCCGAGACCTTTGACTGCCGTATTACCCGTTCAGTTATCAGTATCCATAGTTAGATTTTCGGGATGTTTAACTGTTGCTTTAATAAATACAAATGATCAAGAGTTTTTAGATCTACAAAACGTTACGACTCCGTCCCCTGAACCAACTAATGAACCGAATTCTCAAAACCAAACTCAACAACCAACACCTGTGAATAGTTCAAACTCAAGAGCTGAACATGATGGACCATCCAGTCCTGAAGCGAAACACGCTAAAACCAAAAAGTCTCAAGAAGACACAGGAACAGCATTGATGTTCTCTTTCTCGCCGGATTACAGGCTTGAATTTACGGTCAAATCTTTGATTGGGTCTAGAGCCAAGTTACAAGATGTTCCAAAGATATCGTCATTAATTGAAAGTAAATTGAGAAGCTGGTTTATTGAACGATGTATAGAGCCAAGATTTCAGGTAGTTAAAGTTCCGTCATTATGGCCAAGAAGACAAAACACTAGAGAGCCCGTTCATTCGAATGCGAACGGTATTGTGGATAAAACTGAAGAGGCGCTGATATAAATTTTGGTATCATAGGTAAATACTTAATCATTAAGGAGGGTTACTTAGGATTTTGTTTTTAACAATAGAATTTTTGTTCACAATCAGTAAAAATTTTGACTACGTTTAATATTCCTGACATATAAATATCGATTATCTTTGCTTGATATTAGCATTCGAATTGAAATACTTTCTATAAATCTATTCTGGTTATAAATACGTATATGCGCTTAAAGTTTCGACATGTAATGCACTATCTATATCACAATCGTCTAATTACAGTGCATTTCTGTATTTGGTACTTACTGTGATTCATGCAAAATGAAACTTCCCTTTAACTTTAAAATTCGTGCTTTAGTAAATAGAATATGTGCTAATAGAAACTTATATATTCCTAGTCTCTATGGTGTTCCTTCAGTAGTCTTTTCAGCGTCAGGTTTCTGTAAGTAATCATTTTCACTACCATCTCCGTCACTGCCACTCTCAACATCTTCTTCATGTTCTTCTTCGTTACCCTCTTCCTCTTCGCTATCTTCGTCTTCATTCTCTTCCTCATCACTCTCCTCTTCCTCACTCTCTTCCTCACTCTCTTCCTCACTCTCTTCCTCTTCACTTCCAAAGAATTCGTCAAGACTTTGTAACTGATATACTGGTTTAGGAATTATTTTATCAACATTACTATTCTGGTATTGTCGAGAAGAAATCGCATGTTCCGATAGTGGTTCAGGAGAAGTGGACTTATTTTGCATTGATGATGACGAAATAGATACAATTTTCCCGCCTAAATTATTGGACTGAATAGGTGCGACCTTTCTTATTGAAGGTGGCGGGTGCGTTGAGGGGTCAGCCCATTCTATTATATCGAAATATTTCATCAATATATTGGTAGTCAATACTTCATCTGTATTAATTCGTTTTGAAAATAATGTTGATAATGGAACAGGTTTAGGAACACGTAAAAACAATGAAGCCAACTGAGATTGCTTACTGCCAGTATTTAATAAAACGTTAAACATTCTAGCCCTGTCTCTCGTATCATATGAAGGATCATATTTTGCTAATTGTAAGACATGTTGAAACATTTGAGATACAATATTCTCTTGTAAAAATTCTTCAATTGCCAGGTAATTATCATCACCGACTTCATTCTTAACTTTGTCTAATTCAAAAGATAGAATTTTTGCAGATAATACTAGTGTTTGATATCTAACTACCTCTGATTCGAATGCAAACGTTTTTATTAATAATCGTAGCACATCAGGTCCTATAGTATTGTTGGCTGCTTCGGTGAATTCTCCAATTATCCATATAATACTAGCTTTCGCATCACTTTCCAAATTAGATCTCTGATCTTGTAATACTAATGATAATCTGTAACTGCTTTTAATTATATCTTGCTTTTCCTTCTCGTCCATAAAGTTTTGCTTTTGTTGTATTAAATATCTAATAACAGTTAGTAGTTCATTCAACGATGAACCACCTGCAACTCTTATTTGTTTCAAACACCACTTCAATATTTTCTCATTCCAATACGGGGATATTTGTGAGCAGCTACCAATGGCCCTAATAGATTCATTAGCAATCTTATTTTCCATTGAATTAACTGAGTAATACTTTAATTCTTCAAAAATATATTTCACATTATCTTCATTCGCTAACAATGATAAGATTTGTAACTTTATTTTGGCAATTGGAATTGGGTCCATAGGGTATACATAAAACTTTTTAAACTGAGGTGAAAAGATAGTTTGGTCACTCAAGGATATTAAAGAAATCGTTTGTAGGGCATATAATGAAACCTCAATATTATTCATTGAACATGCTAATCGAGCTAGAGCAACGTCTATTTGAAGTTCTTTATAGATGCGTGGAGGTGTCAATGAAAATATTGCTTTCGATATACTCAAAATAACGAATTCTGACCTGGAGTATATCAACGGTTTCAATGAATCAACAAACAATTGAAGATCTTTATCCATTGTTACGTCATACTCATGATAAGGAATTTTCGAATAATCGTCAGGTAGGTCAATTACTTGACTAGAATCATTCTTCAAATAAAGCTTTGGTCTGGGTAAAAATATTCTCGAGTATTCTGTTAAAATTTCAATCATAAAAGATTGACTCCATTCATCTAAGTCACTGATAATACTACAAAAGCGACGAAAGTTCCCATGTATTGGCTCCCACTTTTTATTATACGATTTCAAATAAGGCATAACTTTAAAGTATGTTTTAAGAGCAGTTCCAACCACTTGCGAATTGCTATCAGCTAATAATTTCGATAAATATTCCAACAATTGTTTCTTCTTCGTGTTTTCCATGTCATAAACTTTCCCAATAGCAATTGCGGTTGATGCTCGTACTAATGGAGAGGGATCAGAAATGGTTCTCTTAATACATAACAGCAATATTGGAGCTATAGATGCAATCCTGATACCAGCCATTGATCTAATGGCACTAGCTCTGTCAATTGGATTCTTATTATTCAAAGATTTTTGGATGGAATTAATCGACAAGAGTGCTGTATCAGGTTCCACCTCTGCGTATCTCGTAAGATATATCAAGACTAAATTCTTTACCTTGCTGTTTGCAGAAGTTATATTCTTAACAACATCAGCAAAGTAGGGCAAACCATCTTCTCCTCTTGCTATTGAAGATATCACACACTTCATGCCGCTTAGATTGTCTCTGTCTATTCTAGAATTCAATAATTTAGAAATCTCTTTAGGTCTCAACGCACTTGGTGTTTCCGAGAGCCTTGACGAGGCAGACGCAGCCACTTCAATAGTCAAATCCCTAGCGGATTCCAACATTGAAGATATCTTGGCCAATGACTCCGTCATATTGTTTTATAAAGTTTAAGTTCTCCTATTGAATTACTAGTACTGTTTCAAATCGAAATATATGAAAGCGCTATAGTATTTCTAGAGTTCCTATTTAGGAAATATGTACAAATTTTCGGAACATAACTTTCACCCTTTTTTGTTCTTATTTAGTCTCTGTGCTGCAGTTTTCATCCTCTTACCCAAGCCAATTTCCTTTCTTGTTTGAATATAGTCCTGAGGGAAAAATTCACTAATAGTTGATTGGGTGCCTTCAGCCTTTTTACGGTTCATATCTCTAATAAGTGGTACCATTACTTCGTCGACTCTTGCTTGTGACCAACTCACATTATACATCAAGAAAGACCTGATTTGATCTAAGCTAGGAACCCCCCATTTAAATTCACTTTTATCATGATCAACTTCAGGTTGCTTGTATGCATCGAAGATTACATTGTCTGGGAATGACTCAGGTAAAAAGAATGTCCCGTTTTTAATTCTATTCAACAAACTCCTTTTGATACTAGTTAAGCCCGATTTATCTGGGGGAACAGTGGTCTTTGTATTTTCATCGAACCATTGTTTAAATTTTTTAAGAGATCCAAACTCTGCTAATATTTCCATTGCCATTACAGGACCAATTCCCTTGATCCCTTCTGTATAATCACTGCCTAGAAGGAGAGCTAAGTCTATTAATTTTTCTTGCGATAGACCCATTTTCGAGTTTATATCGTTCATTATATAGCATTCCACGTATTGCTTTTGATTGAACATATTTTTATAAACTTTGTCACCACCGAATAAAAAGCAATCACTATCATCGGTAACGATACCATCGACCAAGTTTAACTTTAATAGCTCAGCACATTGGGCTTCAGCTTCCATTGGTGCAGTAATGTATGGTATTCCAAATCGTCTCAATAATTCTTGAACATCCCTAATCATGGTTTCTGTGACTTCATCAGAGTCTCTTTTAGCTTTCTGTAATTTTTCTTGTAACAATTGCTCGTCTGTAACACTAGTGTGAATAGGAGGAGGCGGAATTTCATGATTGGCTCTGATATGAGACTTGAACATTTCGTGTTCATTTTCCTCTTCTTTCATTTGCTCTATGAACTGTTCCTCATCCTTCTCTTCAAAATCATAATCCAATACTACCGCCTTCCCCTCTTTATCCCTATCCTTATCCTTATCTTCATCTGTTATTTTAGTTGTCGATTCGGTTGTGCTATCGACTCTACCTAGATCTGTAGATGTATTATTATCATTATTATCAACTATTTCGTCATTATTAAATTGAACTTCTTCTATCGAATCATCAGAATAATCCTTTTCATAATCATCCCCCATCATATCTTTAGCTTCGTTCCAAGAAATCAATCCCACTTCCTCATCTTCCTGATATTTTCTCTTTTTAGAATCATTTTCAGGTACAAATGTCTCCTGTTCATAATTCCCCATTTGGGATATTTCTTCATTGAACCACAGAGGTAGTGGTTGATTTTTTATAGTGGTGGTTGTACCACTCTTACTATCATTATTTTCTTTTAACATTTCGTCCTTCATATCAGTTAATTCATCTTCCAGTTGAACTACTCCCGATTCAAGATTTCCTGCTATATACTCCACATTCTTAGGATTATCCAGATTCGATATAATTTGTTTCTGAGAATTCAACACATTTGATTTTGGATCCTTCTTATTCTCACTACTTCCTAAAGGTATCTCATTGTTACTTTTCGACTTTTGAATATCATCTGCCTCAGTTTTCAGGCCATTTTGAAATAACATTGATTGGCCAAACGAAAAACTTTGCAAGTCTGGTAATGGTTTCAACTCCGTTTCATTTTTCTGATCGTCGTGATGTTCTTGAGAATTATCCATCATTAAGTCATTTCTCCAATTTAAAATCCCATTCAGTATCATATCCTCTTCCCTAATCTTTAAATCTAGCAAATCTTTTTTTGAACTTTCAATGGCTTGTCTTAATTCCGCCGAATGGGAATCATCTGAATTTTTATCTTCGTACATATTGTATATGGATTCTATTATAGCTTTCTGAACATCCTTTTCTTCTTCTGTTTCTCCAACATCATTTCCTTCTAATGGTACATCGTCCCATTCAACATCATCGTCTTCTTCTTCTTCTTCTTCTTCTTCATTATCAGATTCAACAATTGTAACTTTATGGCTTTTATTACTGATATTACTATCATTATTATTATTGACTTGGGCATTTTGCTTGCTCGTATCCGTATTACTATCCAATGCAATTGGCTTGTCAATTGAAGATCCATTTTCATCTAATGCTAAAGTCCATCCATCTTCATTCCTAACCAATGCGTATTTTCTATCTTTGTCGCCTGCAATCCTTCTAGTAGCATTTCCCTCATCGCCCATTCCACTAACGTTCATCAATTTTTGTGTATAGAAGTTTCTCTTCTGCACTTGTTGAATTTGAAATTTAGAAAAGTCCATACTGTTTGGAAACAAATTTTCTAATTGATCTTTATTAAACCCCATTCTTAATCTTGACCTCAATCTCAAATGTGATAAGACCATGTACTGAGTCTCTAACGGTAATTCCCCAAACTCTTTCGAATTGGGATCAACTGTATTAATGTCAACTCCATTTACATTATCAAATGATTCTTTTGCTAACTCATCAAATTCCTCCTCTGGCATAATTCTTAAATCATCATTAGACGCTTTTATCTTTTTTAATTCAGGTAAATGATATTCGTCCTTTTTCACAAATTTAGAATGCTTTTCTGGTGGAAGTTGGCTTTTATTTTCTTCCCCACCTGGCCCATGAAGAGGATGTAAGTTAGGTAAATCTTCCAAGTACACTATTTCATCATTGAAATCTTCATCTTTTGGTTTATGTTTTGCTTGATCCGCTTTTCTATGAACTTGAATTGCTAATAATTTACGAGCAGTTTGTTCTTTGCTTTCCTTTTTCCCTTCTCTTCTTTCTCGTCTTTGATTAATTGTTTGACGTTTCAACGCCGGTGCTCCACCATCAAAAACAAAAATAGGATATATCCCGAAATACAATAGTTTGCATATTCTTCTAAAAAAGCCTACTATATGTGCTTGTGGCATTGAATTTCCTTCTTGATCTCTAACTGCTTTCAAAAACTGATAAATCCAAATCGATGCATCAACAGCTAATTTTTTTCTTGACAACGCCTCTAACCTAACAGGCCTGGCTGATGGCCCCAAGATATCCCATAAAGAGTTGACACCCATTGCAAGAAATCATATATACATATAAGTTGCAATTATACTTCTAATCAAGATAGAGACAGTTGCATTCTTTGATAATGAATTAATTCGATGATTATGTAATCGATAATGCAGATACCTTCACTGAAGAGAGACCAAAATAGGTGGTCTAAATGATATACTACAACATCAATAACCTTACTACTGAAGCTTGGTATTAAAGTATTTATTATGCATTGAAGGTCAGATTCATGTAGTGAGTTTGTTAAATATAGAAATCTTTAATTTAGTCAAATTGCGGCTTTCAAGATGATTGCAAAACGGCTTTTTGCAATTCCACAAATCCATATATAATACCTCTATTCAATTTTTAATTGTTTACTAATATAGGAAATATATATTTCCTATGGCCATGGAGTCAGTTTCAGAGATAAATATGGCACCCAATAATGGAAACACTCCACTGAAATTTGAAAGTATTGAAAATTATCAGAATTTACAGCAGCAGCAGCAATATTCACCGTATTTTTCTCAGAGGAACTATATTCTTGTGAATTCCAATGAACAAAAAATTACAAACTCTACCATGAATAATGGTTCTCAGGACCACCAATTGCTTTATTCAGAGATTCAGTCGAATTCTCTTAGACCGGCTCATATAATTTCTCCTAGTAAGCAGGCTCCAGAAGGATACGTCTGTGTCGGACGAGTTATTGAATCTCCAACAAAAAATACATCTCTCAGCCCAACACAGAAGGGACTTTTCATTTTGAACGAAGACTCTAATAGAGTCATGCTGGAGTTTCCATCAACCTTCAATCCTAGGAAAACTAGTAACATGCCACCCAGGGAAAAAGTAAATAAATGGATCCAAAACGTTCCATTTCGAATTATACACGATGATATACTAATACTGGAATGCTACCCTGCTATTCCGTCTTCAAGTAGTAATTCTGAATCTAGCATGGACTTTGCCGATAATCAAGACATTTTAGAATTACAATGCAGAAGAATTACTCGTTATACTACTCATATGTATACTAAGGAAGATGAGCCTGTTGCCCGTTTTGATGAATCCTCTGATGATGACTTTTACGACAGTGAAGGTAACTTGATTCAGTACGACACAAACATAGCCCATATGGAAAGCACATTTGATAATTTTTTTAGTGGTAAAGGGAACCAACCAATTGAGTATATTATTAACTCTACATTATGATTTATAGGTTCGTATATACAAATAAAATAGTAAATAGAATAGAATTTATGAAGAACGATTCCATGTTCATCTAAATAAATAAATCCAATTCTTCGATTTTATAATTTATAGTATCGTCATCTTGAAGCTTGTCAATTTGTGGGTAATAAGGAACGAGAGCATCGCTATGTTGAACATAAGCACTGTTGTATATTTTCCAGTATGGATTTCTGACTTTCCGTGCGGGATGAAACAATCCGGCCCAAATATAATTCGAAAAACTACCCATCCCAATTACTGCTCTTATTCCTTCAATACTTTCTAAAATACGATTGATAACATGGGGCGAAGTCTCATACACGTTAGGTAATAGCAAGTTCAAATAATGAATAAAAACATCATAATAATCATCATTAGTTAAGCCAACGCAGTTGAGGGCCATATGTCTAATTACAGTTGCCGCTGTTTGACGATGGACTTGGTCTCTGTCCGTCAACGCATCCTCAAGTAAAGGTGTTATCGCAAATAAGTAATCTTTGGTCATATTACCATCAATATACTCAAATAAAAAGCTAAGTGCTTTCAAGACACCATTCTGCACATTATTTTCAGGTATCCTATATTCATTCATGAGTGCTGGGAGTATAGTGAAAGGAGCACATATTTCAGCCACGATACCTATTGCTACAGCCGTGCAAACTCTTAGTTGACGTTCCTGAACTCTTAAATTATTTAGTAACATCGCAAGAACATCCTGAGGGCCTATGGTACGTGCAATGTAACCAAATGTATCATTTGCAGCTATCCTTATACGTTTTTTCGGACTCTTTAACATGTCCAATAATTCAAAGCAAATACGCATCCATTCCTTTGCATTAATGGTCTCAGAATTCTTTCTAGCAATTAATCCAACTAACTTTATACAAGATTCCTGAACCTTATCCTGTCTATTCTTCAAAATTGGTGTCAAAGTAGGTAATATTTGATTAATTGAGGGATTTGACATGGTATATAAGGAATTCTTATCGACACTATCGATACATGCATATAATGCACTCAAAATAGACCCCAAAACTTCTGGATAAATCTCGCCTAGCGATTCGTAAAGAATGAGAATTAATTTCATTATTACTTCGTCGTTACCTTCAGAACATTTTTTGATAATCGGCGCTATTATTGTTATTAAGTCTGAAGCTTGCTGTCTTATTTCTGGAGTTTTATTCTTCAAGCGGTATAATATAGTACTAATTATTGAATTCATATGTGGTTTAAGCCTCACATCAAGAGCTTTCGATACTGCATCAAATACCATTAGATATACTCTATGATAAACGGATTGCTCTTGAAAGGCAAATAAAATACCATCTACTAGTTTAATCTCAAGCTGAGAATCTAGCCCGATAAGATAATCAGCATTTGAAGACACCATCTTATTTATAGTTTCCACGCACATCCTCCTTAAAGATTCATTTTCATCTTTGGTATAAATTACAATGCATTCGAGAATTTCTAAGAAGTCAAACTTCATTGCAAGTTGTGAAGTAGCATCAACAACAAGTTTGCTCAATTGCTGTGAATCTGATGCTGTTCTCCTATTCCAAAAAAATCTTAAAAAAGGCTTTATTATTTCTTTGTGATAATTCTTTATTAAATGTCTCGATAATGGTAAGTTGACCATAATCTTCAAAATTGTAATTTTCATATCCTCATCCGGAGAGTTAAATTCTCTTGTAATGACTGTCATTAATTCCTTTGTATAGTAATTAGCATATTCTTCATAATTTGGATCGTGACACATCAAAGGTATTATTGACCCAATACATTTCAAAAAACTAGCCAAACCTTTACCTCTATGACTTCGTAACCCCAACCACGCTGGTTCCAAAATCTCTTCGAATGATCCAATCCCATATGGCTTTACATTCTCTGCTAGTTGAGATAACGTTAGCGCTGTCATTGTACGAACCTGTAGTATTTCATCTGTTAATCCTGGTTTCAAAACAGTCATTAACTGAGATAAGTACGGCAAGATGGAATTACCATTTCCACCCCCTAATAATACACATAGCTGTTGAACAATTTTAATGCCTGTGTGTCTTACCATCCAATTTTTCTTAGATTTTATCACCGCTTTCAAAAATGGAATAAAATTTACTAGACCTAAAGTATTTGCAACAATAGCGAATACGCGGGACGTTACATTCCTAACATATTCATCGACATGATCTAAATCAGGTCTCAAGTTTGAAATCATATTAGCCAAACCAGCGGCCCTAGTTAAACTAGAAATTATGTCTCTTGCCTCTAATCTTATCGTAAAATCTTCATCTATTAATAACGGAGAAACAACCATCAAAATCTTATGTGTATACGGCCTGACCAAATCATCTAAGTGAAATAAAATTCTTCCAACTAATTTAACCAAAACATGTCTTTCATGATCATCCAAAGTAGGTTCAAGTAGAAGGGGTAAAATTTGATTAAACAAGACTTTCGGACCGAATGTTCGTGAATTATCGGTCAATTGACGCAATGATTTCTTACGTATAGCTGGAGTACCATTTTTAATCTTCAATAAAAGCTTCATAAGCCTTATTTCCTTCTTTTGTTCAAGAGATGAATCTTCTTCATCGTTTGCAGTCATCAACTTTCCAAAATATTTCATATCCTCCTGTTTAATGAAACTTAAACCAGTCACACCTGGAATTTCGGTAGTTAATTGTCCCTCCATCAATTTTTTTGTCTGAATGCTATCTTGGTCTACTGAAGGTGGCACGTAGAAATTCGAAGTAATTTCTGTCATATCAGGAGCCACAGATGGGTCAAATTGTTCAAACCTTTCAGGTGGCGGTACCACGACGTATCCAGGTGGTAGTATTTTATCAATTACTTTATTCGTTAATGGAATACCGTTAATTATGGGGATATTTCTGTCTTCAACAATGCTTGACATGTCATCCTCATCTGATTTTGTTTTCTTCGTTGATTGTACAATTCCCAGATGAACCTTCTCATTATTCTCTCTCTGGTCCATCAATTGATCGGGTCCCACGTCCCATCTTCTTTTTCTCTGTCTCTTTGTTGGTCCGCTAGTTATGGCGTTCTCCGATGTTCCCTTCTCCTCTTCTTTTTTCTTGATTAGGTTTCTTACATGGACTTCTTCTCTTTCAAACTCACGCTCCTCCATTGTTTCCTTATATGTTTTCAAATTGTCAAGGTTTAGGTCTATATTTCTCTGAAATTTCCTTTGTTGGTAGTCATTTTTACTAAGGTTCTGTTTCAACTCTTGCGAAGAAATAGCATCATCTTGCTTGTGCTCCTCTCGGATAACATCCGCTAATGCTGTGGGTATTGTGTAGCTGCCCGCCAAGTTCTTCTTCTTCTGCTTTTCGGACGGCATTTTACTATAATTTAACAATTTAATTTCCTCTGTATATATAATTCTCTACTGATAGCATATGGTGATTTAAAGAGATATGATGAGTCGTGTGTAAACAATATTCAATCAGAGCGGCAGTATAAGCAAATGGTACTATTATACTTCACTTCTTTTAGATCATACATAGTAATGTCGAGTCAAAACTCTACAGTCTTGTTAAATAGGTTGTTTTCTTTGAAAGAAAACTCTCCTTTTATATTAGTTTTGGATTCATTAATTCAATCTTCATACAATATTCTTCGAGAGTTCGCATATAAATGTTCTAATAACAAAATTATATATATTTCATTCGAAACTTTGAACAAGCCTTCTTTTGCTAGTTCATTCATAGAATGTTCAGGGCTTTCAGCAGCTGAAGTCGGTAAAAAGATCAAATCAGAAATTTCGGGGGCTGGAGAAACAACATCAGGCAAATGCTTAGTGATAGTCGATTCATTGAATTATATTCCAAACGATGAACTAGCCCATTTTATATCTAGTACTATTCTGCCAAATGTCAGTTTAGTTGGCGTTTTCCATACGAATTTACCGCAGCCTTATAGCAACGTTATGAATTATCCATCTTCATTAAGTTTATTATCATATATCGCCAGTTCGATCTTTGAAATAGAACCATTCTATCAAGATAAGATTGACGAGGAGACACTAGATAATAAAATAGGCAAGTTGCAATTCCCAATAAATTGTTCTTTAAACAGTACAACTTACAAGCTCACGCTAACCAACAGAAGAAAATCAGGTAGATCGTTGGTTTACCAATTTATGGTGAATTCGATAACTCACACGTATGATGTATTCAAGGAGGCTAAGGAGGAAGCTGTTGACCCCGAAGATGAAAGTATGTTGAAAGATTTAACTACATTTAATTTGACTACTAGCTCTAAACAAAAGCTTGCCAGAGAGCAAGTTGAGCTTCCATTCATGGAAGCACAAGAAGCAATGGGTTCGTTGGGAGGAGCTATTGTCTATGAATTTGAAAAAGATGATGATTACGATGAGGAGGATCCTTATGAAGATCCGTTCTGATACATTATTGTAGCCTTTTATTCTGTATATACTTAATAATGAATAATCAACTTTATAGAAAACATACACTTTGCCGTGACGCTTACATAGCATTTTAGCAAAAATTATAGATGAATTATATTGATGATTGATTATGAAATTGTACTTTCATTTCTTTATTTCAAAGCTTTGTTGTTTTTTAAAAAAGAATAAATAGTTGCAAAAAATTAATAAAATATTGTTAATAAGAATTTTTCTAAATTATATAAATAATTGATTGTTATAAATAGGTATCCTCAAAGATGAAGCTAATCTTTAATTGCAATTTAAGTATAGTTAGATAATTTAACGTGAACTTGCAGCCATTCTTAAAACTCGACCCAAAAATCAATTAAATATAAGTCGCAATTCAATCTATTCAAATTAGATCGTAAAAATATTTGAAGCTCGAAATTATATATTTCTTTATGTGTAGCGTTGCTGATCTATATAAAATGGTATATACTTGGTATTCCTGCCACTAACCAGCGTTTAGCGGCGCGTGTTTATTGTCTTTATTTTATCTCTTATACGGTTAATAATAATGCTTATCTTCCCATTTGCAGCAATTTTCTCAAATTCTTGTTCGGTAATAACTTTCTTGGTCAATAAGTTAAATATCGATCCGAAAGCTAAGGACATTACTGTACAAGTCAAAATAATGACATTATATGGCATCGAAAAATCAGGAGTTGGTAAATATAACAATAAACTTGTAGTACGCATCTCATAAACGCTATTCTTCGCTTCATCTAAAACGTTGATAACGGCCGGATCAATTGCGAACCCGTGGTTTGCATCTGGTGGATATTCGGCGTATAACAACAACGATTTATCAAATTGATATGTTAGAGTCATAGTTGTACTTGCTGGTAAGGAGACTGAAAATTCCAAGTGTGAAGGCCTTGTTCTATCAATCGCTGGTTTATAGTAGCGGCTTTTTATATAGTTTGATTGTTCTGTATCAACTTCATTGAATCCACTCTCATCCTTGACTGTCATGGTTAAGGTATGTAAATACAATCTCATGTACCAAGGCAAAGTTTCAAAATAAATAAAGTCAATGGATTCAGTAGGAGATGGGTTGGATAAAACTACGCGAAATCCACCTTGGTCTTGTGAATATCCTGTTAATGAACGATATACATGCAAAGGTGGTGTTTCTATGGGAGCGGTCTTTTGACTATCGCTAGAAGTAAAGTTGAAATTGTATTTGCAAGGTTCATCAACAAAGTACTCAATGGATTTGGAACCAGGTGACATAGATAAAGTAGATACATCGGAAGATGCACCAGACGACTTAATCACGTCTGTTTCCCAAAAGTTTGAGTCAATTTCAATATTAATAGATGTTGTCTTAGAGTCACCAATCAAAGCCGGCCCATTAATAGTTCTACCGAAGACAGTTTCCAAATCCCAGGTGATATTAGTTGGATCACCAAGCGGAAAGCATTGCCAAATGTTGAATACTTTTGAATCATCGCAACGCAATTCTTCGCCAGGAGTTGGCCTTGGAATCCCCTCCTTCTTTTTACGAATCGATCTCATGATATCAATAACTGAATTCACACTTTGACTCATTGACAAATGACATGTTGAATCAGCTTCATCACATTCGGTAATAACATCAATAGACATTCCATGCCATAAAGAGTCAAATACCCTGTGGCCCTCTAACAACGACGAAATACCTGCCTTTCCTCTAGTAGGCAATAATTTCAAAAATGGAGTTAAATTCTCGGTGCAGATTGGCTCACTAGGAAGAGCAGCTCTTAAAAAGTATAACTTATTATTAGGATTCAGTATGAAATGGCCGTTATTATTAGAATGATGTTTTGGTGTAGTTGTAATGGTATCATCAATAAAATTAAGAGATGCACAAAAAAATCCCGACAAAGAATTCGATAATTTATTCCAGTTTTTTTTAGCTGATTCTAGATTTGGAGCTTCTATAACCGCCGATACTTCAACCCCAGTTCCACCACTCTTTAAGCCGTTCAAGGGCAAGCGTCCCCATAACTCAGAATCCCACCAGCCCTGTGTGAATCTTAAGTGTAATTCTCTTGTGTTTGTAGATTCAATTATTGGTCCTAACGATCTTGGAAAGTAATTATAATGTGTGCCATCAGATATGGATTTATCACCAATTTCTATGGTTTCATTGTAATAGTCTAACTTTGTTGGCAATGATTCGACATCAAATTGAAATGTAGCTAACAAACTATTCCGTGGTAAAGGCTTCAAATTCAATGATTCGGCATACTTTTCAGCCCCAACTATTATGAACCATACAGAAAGCAAGCAAAGCTTCCAGAATAGCATTTTATTTACTTTGATTGTTGAACTTGTCTTCCTAACTACAGGCAATGGGCCATAGATATTAATGAACGCGATGTTAGTACGACATTTTTGGCCATGAACGACGTGCAGCGTTTATTTGTTTACTCTTCAGATCTACGGAATAGTATATGAACTAGATCCTAGAAGTAGGAAGATTAATAGGAATGCTGAGCCAAACAGATGCTTCGCTTATAGAACATGATAAAGAGAATATACAGCCTTTACCCGAGGGGAGGTCAGCCTCTAAATTAGCATTGAATTTTAAAAACGCATCAAAATCGGTACTTAAGTACAAAGAACAACAACAAAAAAGAAAAGAACAATTTGAGTTACAATTAGAAAATTCAGAAGAATTAGATGATCCATTACAGGTGTTCTTAGATTATATAAATTGGACTCATGATACATTTCCTCAAGGTTCCAATACTGAGAGTGGATTATTGGCTTTATTGGAAAGATGTACTTCATGCTTTCGAGACGTAGCACATTACAAGAATGACCCACGGTATTTGAAAGTATGGTTAGAATATACCAATTACTCCGATTCTCCTAAGGATATTTTTGTATACTTGGCCAAAAAGGAAATTGGCACCGAATTAGCATTGTATTATGAAGAATTTGCAAAATATTTAGAGCTTAATGAGAAGTTTCAAGATGCAACTCAGATATATGAAATGGGGGTTGAATCTAAAGCAAGGCCTTTGGTTCGACTCGAGAGATCGTTTGTGCAATTTACAGAAAGAATGAATGATCCGGCCAGGAGAACAGATCGAGGTGAATCGTCCATAAAAAATGTTCTTGGTGTGAAGAGAGGAGATTCAGCTGTTCCAATTGGAATGGCGGATGCCCAAGCAACAAGAAAGAGACCCAAATTGCAAGTGTTCGTGGAAGACGAGGACAAGAATCAGGACATTTTGAACACTCTATTTGATGGGCTGGCCAACCCACCTGAACTCGGACCTATTAAAACAAGGGTAAAAGAAAACATTTTAGCATCAAAGCCATGGTCTGGTGAAACTATCAAGCAGAAAATAGAGCTGACAAAATCTGAATCTAAGATCACAGTATTCAAAGATGCTGCGCATGATACAGATGGTTCAGTAGCTATGCAAACAATCGAAGAAGACGAATACGGATTAATGCATACTTTAATAAGACATCCTGGAAAAAATCAAGAAAAAGTTAGTTTAAATATGGATTTATTATATCCAGAACAGGGAGATGAATATTGCTTGGACGAGATTTTAGCCATTACCAGAAGGCTTAGTAAAGTTTCATTAGGCTACGAAGTGCAGCAGGATTTATTACCTGAAGAAAAAACACCACTTAAACCGCATAATAACATAGTAGATGAAAGTACTTTCTCTAAGGATATTACTTTCACAATTCCGTTGAAAGATGGAGGTCTTCATGAGGACGATGATACTCATTTACCTTTTAAACACAGGCCGAATTCACCCACAATGACGATGTTTTCTCGTATGGCAACTAATGAAGTACTCACGATGTTTAATGATGCGGGTCAGAATTTGAATACAGACGACGAGGAGGAAAAAACTGAAGGTGAAAACACTACGAATTTTGATGGATTTGTCACAGAAACAATTCATGCAATAAAGCCCGAGGAAAAAGAATTTAAACAACAAATTTCAAATGAAGCAGGTCATTCTAATGAAGGAAAATTGGAGAAGATTATAACACCCACAAGGAATACTAACACTCAAGTGACAGATAGTGTTCAGAGTTCCCCCTTTATAGAAAGACCCTCATCCTCAGTAATAGATAACGAGCTGAAAATATTTGACCCAGTAGACGAGTCTTTAAGGGAACGATTACTAGACAATTTGTCGACACCCATATCTTCATATTCTGGGTTTTGCAATTACTGTTATACGAAGATTAATAAGATAAAGAGATTTCACGAGATAACAAACAATAAAACTAAACTAATTACTAAAGGTGCTAAAAATTCAATAATTGACTATTGTGGCGATGAGATTTATTGCTTAAGATATGAGTTGGGGCATGGCGGATACGGTGTAGTTTATCTCGTCGAGACGGAAATGGGGAAGTTAAAGGCATTGAAGGTAGAGTCTCCATCATCAAAATGGGAATATTATATTCTAACTCAAATTCATCAAAGACTAACTATATTTGATTGTGATATTAAAGAAATGATAGTCAAACAGGAAGCACTCTTCTTCTTTCAGGATGAAAGTTACTTATTAATGAATTATGTTAACCAAGGCACTATTTTGGACGTAGTAAATATTTATAAAAACAGAGGATCAACTGTTGATGAAGTGTTGTGTATCTATTTAACAGTCGAATTGTTAAAAATTATCGAAGTTCTCCATAGCATAGGCATTATTCATGGTGATCTAAAGGCTGATAACTGCATGATCAGATTTAGCCATTCCAAGGAGTGGAGCGACACTTACAGCCGCTACGGGAGTGATGGGTGGTCGAATAAAAGCATAACATTGATAGATTTTGGAAGAGCCATAGATATGACATTGTTCAACCAAAATGTCCAATTCGTTTCCAACTGGGAAACGGACCAGCAGGATTGCCCACAGATGAATAAGCACGAACCTTGGAGCTTTGAAGCGGACTACTACGGCCTCGCCAGTATAATTTAT